GCGTGAGCGGCGGTTGCAGCCGTTGCGCGCCCGGAGTGCGGTGGGTGTGAGGCGATGGCGGGGGGGCGGCCGGGACCGGGACCGGGGCCTCGCCGGCCGCGTGAGGCGGCGCCTCTGGGTCCCGCCCTGCGAGGGGCTGCCCGTCGCGTGAGGAACAGAGCTCGGCTTGAACGTAAACGAAAGAAATACTGAATAAAGGCTTTCTGTGTCCCTGGCTGCCGGTCTTGCAGGCGCGTTTGGAGCTCTCGCTGCCGGTGAAAGCGCTGTTTGTGCGCCTCGGGCCGCCTCACTGTTGGAGAGGCTGTCCGCGCTGCCCTGGGTACAGCCAGGGGAAAAAGCTGGTCCTGCAGCTGGACGCTGGGGTGCGGTACCATGGGCTGTGCCGGCAGTGCTGATCTCTGCCAGGGAAATACTGATGGGGGTGACGCTACCACCACGCACCCGGGGCCTCGGGTCGCTGCAGTAAGCTGTCACCAGGTGTGAAGCCCCTCACACCGTAACTAGGCTGAGTGCTGTTCCTGTGTAGATTCGCTTCTTTACAATGTTATCTGTAAGCTAGGCTTGGTGCTTGCCTGCTGTCAGCTAACAGCAGGGCTGGAGCTGTAGCAATTTTGTTGATAGACTGCAGTGAGAATCGAATCCACTTCAGCATCTGTCAGATCAGTTGGCTCTGTAGTGCAGATATGACTCCGAACGCACTTGGGGAGCCAATTTTCTGCTGAGTAAGGGGGTGCCATATTTACATAGCTCTGAAGTCGTTCTTCAGAAATTGCTCGGTTGTGAGAGTAATGTGACCACAAGGTTTTCTTTTTTGGTAACTGGTTCTCCAGGTTTTGCTCTGGATAGAAGTATTTTGGAGCGAGAGCTAGCCTCACCTTTGAGCTTTGAGAGAAAGGCAAGCAGAGATGCAGCTAGGAGATGCTTCCCTTTACTGGCTGCTGGGCTGCAATCGTACGATCACACAGACAGCACTGCCCAGCAGATGTCTGTGTGCAGGGAACTGCTGATACCAGAGGATTGAGGGGACCAGTTCCCAAAGCACTCATCCAAGATTTGCGCTAGTCTGTGTTGTGCAGCTTCTGTTAGATCAAACACCTCGCTGTGAAAAACTGCGAGGGGGAAAGGAATGTGGACGTGTTTCTAATGAGGAGCAAGTCGGCATTTCTAATTTGATCCTAGATCTCAGCTGAAGTCAAAAATCTGTAGAGGCAAGTGATATCCCGTGCACCCGCTTTTAGACTAAACCAAGATAAACGGGAACAGGGAAGCTGAGCTTTAAAAATACATAATAAAAATAAATTAACAAACAAATAAATAAAAAGGCAGGCCTCTGTGAATGCTGGAGAAAGAGCTGTCCCCAGCCCCTTGGCCCTAGAGAGCAGCGTGAAATCACAGTGCCTGCTTTCTGGGAGACACAAGGGCATGTCTTCTCGCCCGTGCCAGGCGTCACCTGCCTCCTGTGGGGCACAGCAGGAGTGCCATTCCAGTAGGAGGCACGCTCGTGGCCCGGGAAAGGGCAGCAGCAGGTGCGGTGCTGCTAGGCGCCCTGTGAGTGCAGTGAGGCAGAACGGGCTCCGCCGCTCAACCCAGGGCAGGGCAGCTCCGTGCAGCCTGCGGCACAGCCGTAATCAAGGCTGCAGTGAGTTCAGTGTTCCTGACAGACTGACAGCCCTGGAGACCTGTAGCCATGGAAAGGGTGTAGAGTGTGAGGTGACAGTGGCAGTTCTCTCTGGCCCACACATGTCCAGGGCTTGCATGGCTGCTGCAAGTGGCAGGTGAAGGCCCCGGCTTCTCTGGGCTGTTTTGCAGCAAGCTACAGAGACTGCAGCATGATCAGAGACAGTAAATAGAGATTAACACTTTCTTGAGTGAAGATGGCTCTAAAAAAGCCAAGTGTTTTTCTATGGAGAAAAAAAGAAAACATGGTGTTTTTGTTACTTGCTTTCTTTAAGGTCACACTTTCAAGTTCATTTGTGCTAGTAGCAGGCAGGAAACTTAGAATCATAGAATCATAGAATATCCTGAGTTGGAAGGGACCCTTAAGGATCATCAAGTCCAACTCTTGACACCGCACAGGTCTACCCAAAAGTTCAGACCATCTCAAATGAAGGCAGAGATCACGTGACTCCAGGAGCTGATGTTCGAGGAGGAAAGGAAATACATTGTGAGACCCACAGACTATAAATTTACCAGTGCTGAAATGCAGTGCACACAGTCCCTGGGCTTGCTAGATGTTGAAGCCGTTCAGTTTGCCCTGACTAGAAGTGAAAATTAAACAAACAAAGAAAAGAGCCCCAAAACAGAGACTTAGGACCTACTCCAAAGCCCATTACACTTGAGAGAAGGACTCACGTTGACTTAATTGGTAGGTCAGGCCTTTCTTAAACAGAGCTGATAGTCAATTTGAGTTCCATAACTGTAATCTTTCCAAATAAAACTTTCATTGCCTTTAGTGGGAGTTGCATGATACTACCTTCCATTGGCTTAACAATCTCAACTGTGTTTGTTTAACACACTATAATGGAACCTTTCATGCCACTATAATATACTGGATGAATAAGAGCTGTTTTCAAAGTTTATTGCTTAAGAAAATACATTTACCAGCTTAAAGCCTTTATCTTGTGGCTTATGAGAAATAATACAGCACGTACCCAAGTGTGTGCAATAAATGCAGCACCCAGTCCTGCACTCTGAGCTCTGAGCACTCGGGAAGCACAGCTGAGAGTTGCTCCATATATGGCAGAGTTACAGAAAGTGTGTAGGAAATAACAAGCATTAATACTTGCACAGAAGTGAATGTATATTAAAGTCTGTCAGGCTGTTGTCCATTTATTTTTTTTGGGGTGTGTGTGTGTGTTTTTTTTTTTCATTGTTGTTTTGTTTTTAACTCTGAGAAAATGTGAAACGTACAGTTTGACTTAGGCTCCAAAGGGAACTGAGGAAGCCTGGAGTTGAATAATTGAAGCTGACTCTTAGGGTCCCTCTTGTCATTTGCCTTTTGCCTCCAGCAGCTGTTGATTATCAGTCTCAATTACAACTCCCCCCCCTTTAAAAAAAAACAAAAAACTGTTTGCTTTTGTTGGGCATTGCTATTATCTGAACACATATTTGTCTTTATGTTTTATGTAATAAAATTTAATAGACACTATTGACACTGTAACTTGGCATGAAGTCATTTGGCATGCTTGATTCTAGGGCTAATAAAAATAAGCCTTCCTGTTATTGTACATGGTAAATACTGAAATTGGTAAAACCCTATAAGGATCTTGGTTTATAGCCCAATGAAATCTAAACTGATTCATATTCCCAAAGGCTGGAAATATGAAAAAGACATACAGCCTGGTCTGCATCCAGGTTTCAAACCACCCACGTTGTTTATGAGGGGTACAGGTTTCTTTCTTTTTTTTTTCTCTCCTCCTTCCCCCCCCCCTTTTTTTTTTCCAAGTTGTTCATGAGGGGTACAGGTTTCTTGTTGCTTTTTTTTCCCTTTTTTTCCAGAGGTGCTAGTGGCTCCACTGTTTCTGTGAATATAATAAAACGGCGAGAAGGACCTCATACTTGGTAAGGCCAATTCCCTCCCTGCTGCGAGGAGCCGGAGCATGTAAGTGCATTCATCCCTGCATAAAGTAACAAGAGTTAAGCCGTTTAAGTATGCAGGTCAAAGTAGAGTAGTTGGTGAGTTATGGAGTTGAAGAGCTGCACCTCGTTCACGTTCACTCCTGTGATAATCCAGGGCACAGAGCAGGATCCAAAGACAACTGTGGTCAGTGGCAGGTTTTTCCATTACCTTTGATAACCTTTGAGTTCAGCCTGCAAATAGCTGACTTCAACAGCTGTAGGGATGTATTGCAGCAGCCTTCGGCCTGTTGCCACCAATTGATGGAAAATGCACATCTGCAGAGAGCCTTTCTATATCTTTTTCTAGTAGGAATTAATTTCATTATAGTTTCTACACAAAAAAAAAAAAAAGGCATATACCTGTTTCTTAACAATCCCGTTTGAATAGTTTAGAAAAGAGAGCTTATTTTTCACCACGGTCATTATTTTCTTCTGCATTTCAGAGGACTGCTGGAATCTGGACAAGTCTTGGAGTTTTCTGTGACATTTGTGCTCCAACTTCATTCATTGTCAGCACGGCCGTGAGTACAGAGTCATTGGTGTTGAAGAACCAGTAGAGGGAGCGCGAAACACTTCCTTTATATTTCTCTCTTACATAAACATTGGCTACCGTTTGAGGGTTTTCTTAATTTTATTTCCCTGGAATAGGAAGAATTTTTGAAAGAGAATGTGATCAGCGGCTCAGATATCAAATCCGTGTAAGTCAGTCTTTGGAGTGCTGCATTTCCACGCTATGAATTACCTGCCTGTTTCCACTACTCTATTCCCCCTACTGCTCTCCAACCCCCCCAACCCAAATGTTCAGTTTTCCTAGGTGCTTTCCAAGCAGGAATGTGCATCATTCCTCCAGAGTTCATGATGCTCATGCCATTAGATTGTCACGTGAATTGTAACATTTGCTCTTGGTAAACAAAGCTTACACCCAGCACCAGAAGTGTAAAATATTAATTTTAAAAGACACAATTAATATTTTGCAAGAGGGGAAGAAAGTAAACACCAGGAAGAATTACGTGTTCCACGTGCATGATTTATATGTTGCTTAGTGAAACGTGCGAATCTGAGAGTTTGCTGAAGTTAGTTAAAGGAAGCCAAGCAAATTGAAACCCAGCTTAAAAATGTGAAGAGGCATTAAATGATTATCATAAGCCACGCAATGATGTGTTTTGAAGCTCAGTGTGCCCATTATTAGGTATTATCATGAGATTTTTAATTAGTAGACAACCCCATTTTGTGTATTAAAGTTTTTATTCCTTAGTAAGAATTTTTTTTAATCACAAAATAGTGTGGAAATATTTAGATAATAGAATTCATGGAGTGCTGGAAAATACTGAATATAAAGATTGATTTCTAATATATCACATACTAAACTGTTCTAAAACAGCTGGTTTCTTGCAGACAGGATTTATTTTTTTTAATAATTTAAGACAGCATAAGCTTGTATCAAGCATAAGCATTGTAACAAAAGTGCAACTTTTTCAGCAAATCCTCCCAAAAGATATTTAACTCAAAATATCATTAACACATATTTTCTCCCTACAAAAATAGCATGTCAGACATCATTAATTGGATGTATTAACAACTATTTACATACAGCCACTCTGTAGGCTAGTAAGATTTTTTTTAACGTTGTTTAAACACAGCGTTTGAGGCAAACAGTAGCAACAGCAGCAGCAAATGCACCAAACTGACTAACAGACCCAGGATACTTATTCACTCCAAGTCAGACTGTTGTGTCTCACCTCTTACATAACATTCAAGTGAGATTTCTCACAGTGCTACCTTGGCAACAAACTAAAAATATCTAGGCAAGGTCTTGGTTTAAGCCTTATTATAAAAGCTTTATCTGTGTGATTATCTGGCGTCTGGTTTGTCTCCAGAAAGGGAAATAGCAACATTTGAGAATGGGATGAGGAGAGAACCCATACGAGAAATTTGTCCCCCGTGGGCTGATCGCCTCTGAATGCAAAGCAAGGGGTTTACCTACAGCCTTCAGTTTGTGCCATTCACAATTTAGGATAAAACGCATTCAGGCTGATGAATTGCTCTGTGTTTTCTCGGGGGGGGCAGTGGACGGGGGGGTTCTTTTCGTAGTTCAGTGCAGAAACATTCATTTTATACAGCAAGGTTAGGGGGAAAAATCTCTCAGGAACATAAATAAAGATGGGGTGAGAACAAACGCACTTGCCACACCTGTATACCCTAGCCAAAAAAAAAAGTAAACACAAGGTTACATAATGGGTCTGACCCTCCTTCCCTTGCACACCCACAACTCGCTGGAGCCAAAACCTCGCAGCATCCCCGGGTGCTCAAGGCACTGCAGGTTGGGGCTCAGGGTTCATCTGACCACGGGCCGCTCCCCGATAAAGTGCTACCACAGGCGCCGGGGTCTCCCCTTCCTTCCCTTGCCTCGCCGCCCCTCCGCCCTCACCCTGAGCCCACCCAGGTCTCCCGGCCAAGTGCAAGTTCCTCAGTGGGGCCCAGGGACACTGTACGAACCCACTCACGATAAGGTGCAACATTTAAGTTACCTTAGAGAGAGAGAGAGAGAGAGAGAGAAGAGTATCCTTACTATTCTTCTTCCTTTCCTTCTTTTTCCTTTTTTGTGTGTGTTGTGTTTTTTTTTTTTTTTGTTGTTGTTGTTTTGTTTTCCTCCTTAACATATTTACGCATTTATAAAGCCAAACATTACAAAAATACTGAGTAGCAAATTTTATCCTCGGCGGTCCGCTGCGGGAGCCGAGGGCTCCCGGGAAGGGGGGATGGCCGATTCCCCGCTCCCGGGCCCTGCTCCCGCTCCCGGAGCCGCCTCCCCCGGCCCGGCCCGGCTCGGCCCGGCCCCGGCGACCCCTCGCAGCCGCCCCCCGCCCTCCAGTGCCCGGGGCCGCGGGTCCCGGCCCGGCGGCGGCGGCTCAGGGCCCCTCGTCGGCGGCAGGCTCGGGCTCGTCGGCGGGCTCGGCGGCGGCGAAGGGGTGAGGGAGGTGGGGCGCCGCCTTCTCGGCGGGGCCGAGCACCGACGAGAGGCAGGGGAAGGAGGCGGCGGCGGCGGCTGCAGCGGCGGCGGCGGCCGCCTGCGCCGGGATGCCGGGATAGAGGAGCGGGATGGGGGCGGCGGGGTAGAGATATTTCTCCAGGCTGCCTTTATCCAGGAAGGGCTGCACGTAGGCGGCGGCGGCGGAGGGCGATATGAAGTAGAAGGGCAGGCAGAAGGGGGCGGCCGGCTGTCCGAAGGGCCCCCCCCCGGCGCCGCCCGCCCCCAGGGCCATCAGCGAGCCCAGCAGCGCGGCCTCGGGTCTCACCAGCGCCGCCGCCGCGGCCTCGGCGCCCCTCGCAGCCAGCCCCGGTGGGACGGGCAGGGGGCTGCCGCCGCGGTCCGGCTTCAGGCGCTTGGGCGCGGGGGGCGCCTCGTCCCCCGACGGCTCCTGCTTGATGGCCAGGCCAGGCAGCGCCCCCGGCGCCCCCGCAGCCGGGGCTTGGCCCCGCTCGCAGCGCCCCTCGGCCTCGCCGCCGTAGCCGCTGTCCGTGTCCGTGTCGGTCTCGGCGCTGAGCTCGGCGGCGTGAGTCCGCTGGATGACGGGCACGCAGTTAGCCTGGCCCTCCGGCTTGTGGCAGGGGGGGGCGGGCGGGGAGGAAGAAGAGGAGGAGGATCCCTTGGTGAGGGGGCCCGGCGGCGGGGACAGGAGCTGGGGGCCGGCGAGGAACTGCGAGGAGATGGAGTGCAGGTGGCCGAGGAGCTGGGCGCATCGCTGCTCGCGGGGGGTCCAGCTCTCGAAGCGGGAGAGGTACTGCAGCACTTCCTTGGCGCACGTCTGGAAGCCCGAGTGGAAAGCATCCAGGTCGGCCTGCACGGGAGACTTCATGGACCGCTCCCCTGCGGGGAAAGCCGAGAGGGGATGGTGTTTGCTCGTCCTGAGCCGCCCGGCTCTGCGCCTCCCCCCAGGGCCCACTTACCGCTCTGCAAGGCGACGATCTTCTGGTGCTGCTGCTCCGTCAAGGCTGTCAGCGCCTTCAGGTGTTTCAAAGTCAGCTCCAGCACCACTGCTTTCTCCAGGTGTCCCAGCGTCTGCAGGGACAGAGGGGGGAGGCGTCGGCTCGACAGCCTGTGGTGTGCCCATGGCTCAGGGACGGCGGCCCCCGAGCTGAGGGTCGGGGTGCCCGCACCCCACCCGCACCCCACGCAGGGGCAGTCCCACTTCTCACCGTCAGCTTCAGATGCTCGGGCAGCAGGTCCTTCAGCTGGGCGATGCACTCGTTAATCCTGTCTCGCCTCTTCTTCTCTATCAGCCTGTGCGGCAGCTTGTATGTCTCCTAGGGAGCAAAACCCGGAGAAGCCGGGCGGTAGGGGCACGCCGACCGAAAGCAAAACAAGTGTCACGCCGGCCTCCGCCGCCCCCCCAGGGACAGTGGCAAGCGCCGGCGGCGGGGATGCTCCGGGGGGCGAAGCCGCGCCGAGAAATTCGGGCAGCCCCGGAAAACTTCCTCTTACCTTGCTCTCGTCCCTCTTCATGCCTCTTTTGGGCTTGCACATGTACAGGGACGGATAGTCCAGCCTGCAGAAAAACACAAAGGTCCTGCGGCGGCGGCGGGAGCCAGAGACCCCGACCGGGCGAGCGGAGCCGGGCACGGCGGCCAGCTCTGCCCCCGGCGCCCTGCAGCGCGTCCCGCGGGAGCCGCGCCGAGCCGAGCCGAGCCGGGAGGCAGCGTGCCGGCGCCTTACCCCAGAAAATCCCTGTGCTCCAGGAGCTGCCGCTCCGGCAGGCGGGGGATTCCTTCGTCCATGGCTGGCGGCGGCCTCTGTCTCGTCGCTGCTCTCGGTCGAAGCCGTGGGATGCTGCGAGCGGTCCCTGCAGATCCGCGGGTGGCTCTGTGCACATGCAGCCTCCGGCCCCGCTCTCCCGTGCAGCGGCCAAAGTATGCGATAGCACGGCTCGGCTCGGCTCGGCTCGGCGCGGCGCGGCTCTGCCCCCCCCGCTGCCTCCGCCGCTCCCCTTGCCCGCCTCGCTCCCGCTGGCCGCTCACACGCCCGCCGCGCCGCGCCGAGCCCAGCCTGCCCGCGGGGCACGCGCGCCGCCAGCCAGCCCCGCACCCGGCTCACGTGCGGCGCGCGCCGGGCGGGCGGGGAGGCGGGGCCTGGGGCGGGGCCCGGGGAAGGGGGGGCGGGGAGGGGGGAGCCCCCGGCGGGCTGCGGAGGGGAGGGGACGGGGAGGGTCCCCGCCGCCGGCCCCTGGGGCCGCCCTGCGAGAGGCCGGCTTCCCCTGCGTACCTCTGCCGCCGCGCTTCGGCCCTGCGTTTTGATGTTTTAATGTTTTTTTTTTGTTGTTTTTTTTGTTTTTTTTTTTTGTTTTTTTTTTTAAATTTTGGAGGGTTTTGTTTTTATTGCATTATTTTATTTTATCGCATTATTTTATTGCATTGCATTGTTTTCTTGCATTATTTTATTTTGTAATTTTATTTTATTTTATTATTTTTACTTCCTTTTATTTCATTTTTTATTATTTACACTTCTGTTATTTTCCCTTTTCTTTTCAAGCGTGCCTTTCCCCTGTTCCCATCGCTGCTGCCATCCCCCCCCCGCCGCACATAATCCCTCCTCACGCCGCGCACAGGGCCGCCAACGTGACCCGACCTCCCACCGCCGCCGCCCCGCGCCCCCCCCGGTGCCCGTGTGCTCGTGTCGCTGCCCCCCGTGCCCCCCGCTCCCCCCGGCCGTGCCGCAACGTGCGGGGCCCGGGCCGTGCGGGGGGGCGGCGGGCGGGGAGGTGCCCGCCGGGAAATGGCAGCAGCACGCACGCAGGCAGACAGACAGACGGGCAGACAGACAGAGGGGGTGACACACGGGCACACGCACGCGTGACTCGTGATTTTTTCACGCAGGGGCTGCACGAGGGGCCGGGAGCGGGGAGGGCTCCGCAGAGGGGCCGCAGGCTGCAGCCTCTTCTCCCGGCCGGGAAGCAAGCGGCACTGCAGGCTGGTGCAGCTCCTTCCCCGGCAGCCTAATGGCATTTTCACGTTGCCAGTGCCACGAAAACGGGCTAAAAATAAACTGGGCGCCGCACGCCTGGAGGTGTTTGGGGGGAGAGGTCCGAGCCGCTGCCGCTGGGAGGGGGGGGAGAGCTGCGGCCCAGATCCCTCGGGATGGGGAATTTTGGGGCTGGGGAAGGAGGGGGGAGCTTGTGGGGTGCCTGCTTTCCCTAACTGATACAAGGGATCAGGGGGGAGCACTTCTGGAGCACCTCCTCGTGGAACACCTGGAGCATCTCTGCCAGCTTCATCCTCTCTGGGACAACCTGCAAATGTTCAAATTACGGCAACAACGTCCGGAGCGAGACTTAGCTTTCAGGAGGAGAAATCCTGATTGTGGGATTCCTCTAAAACCGGGTGGGAATGGAAATTGAAAATGATCAAAAGATGCAAAACATGATCTGAGACAGCTGGAGGCCTTGCAAGAGAAGTTCAAGCAACATCTGGAAACTTCTAAGAGAGGTTTATAAGAGGTCACCTGCAGACGAGGATAAAAGGCTTCAGTGTCTAGGGAGAGTGCAAAATTCTCCTGGAAGAGTCCCAGTTTAAAATGGCAAGAGGGATCAAAGAGGTGATCAGCAGCATGACCATCACAGAAAAGAATGTTTTTCAGAAAATAAGCGGCAGAAAAAAAGCTTTGACCAATTTACAAGCTGAGATGAACCACAGCAAAGAGTTAAGAAGCTGAAAAATCACTCGGAAAAGGAAATCAGAGGTTTGCAGGTCACCACAGGGCAAAAACAGCCTCCTGCTGAAGACAAGGGCTAGCTAGAGAACCGCTGATCCCAAATGCTCGCCACCATTTTCAGCCTAGGAGGAAGGAATCAGAGTGCCTGTCCCAGCTGAGTCATTGCAAAAGCTGCCCTCTGAGGAGACTCCATTTCGGAGGTTTATTCAAGTCAGTCAATAACCACAGTGTAAGGGAATGAATGCCTTCGAGATACAGTGCCTAGGAGCACCGTATTCATGAAGGAATTAACAAGGACTTTTGGGGTAAATTGGACATCAGCCTATGCGTAGATTTTCACTTTTGGGATGACCAAATGGAGACCAGGGAAAAAATCAAAATGAGAGCAGACGAAAACTGGGTCAAAAAAGAGGTCTGGCTGTCCTGGTGTCCATCAGGAGATGCCTAGGGAGGAGCGACTGAGCAGTGTCTGCGTGCAAGGAAAGCTCCCCAGCCCTGTCCCCCAGGTCCCAGGGGCCCACGGTGTAGAGACTTCCTGAGCCAGAAGCGATATCTCTTAATGTGTTTAATGGGAAGCCAAAGACACTGTGAGAAGCAGAGGAGTTTGCCAAGGTGCTTAAATCATTGGTTGCAGCAGAGCATGAGGCCAGGAAGCAGACACTGGTGAGAGGTTGGTCAGTCACCGGCAGGCCTGTCAGCGAAGCTAGTAACGAGAGGAAGGAGAGAACTTTCCATTTCAGACTGCCATGCATACCTGAAGAATGTAAAACGAGGGAGACGGCAGCCATGCAGATACACAGCTGAATTCTGAAGCAGAAATAAAACAACCTGACTGAGGGCAGGTGGTGGGCTGGGAGGAGGCACAAGGTGCAGCAAGGCCTCTGCAGCACTGGGTGAGAGCAGGACGCCCAGCCAGCTGCGGCAATGGGGTTACAGCCAGCCTGGAGGGGCAGCGATCAGGGCCCACTACTTTTCAAAACCAATTCAAAACAAAACAAAACAAACTACATGAGGGAGGTTGGTCACTGAGGCAGTCCTAGGTCATGGAACCCCATGGCCTGGGTGATATTAGAAACGGCCCAAACTCTACCAGACCAGGCAAGCTGGAGTGGTATTTGGGCTACCACTGACCAAGCTGATCAGCTCAAGAGGAATGGTGGTGACAGGAGAGCACAGACACATCCAAACCTGGGAAAGTCAGATCAACGAAACAGAGGCACTGGAGCAGAAAGTCAGGTGTGATAGGGGGCAGGCCAGTCCTCAGAACCGTGTGGGTGTAACTGCATGATAAACACCAGGAACTGTGCTGTCAGTTTGGAAATTCCCTTTAAAGATGTGTCTCAAGTGAAGCAAACTGTTTGCAGGTAGCTGGGCTGCAGTTAAAAGCTGCCCTGCCTCCTGGGGCAGTAAAATTAAAGGTGGCTCCAGCCTGAGGCCACTTCCAACCCTGGCTGGTGGGAGGTCTGAAACCTGCCTGGAGACCTGGGGCCTGTGGGTGTGAAACAGAAGCAATCCCCATCTGTCTGCTGGGAGTTTTGCAGGAGCAGCAACCAGGAACAAGTAAAACAACCCCCCCCGCGCCCCCCCCCCCCCCCCCACAACTCCCCTTCTGCAGTCACTGCCAAGAAGCTGTGTCCATGAACCCTTGGGTTCAGCTTGGTCACTCGCAATGCACCTCAAAGCTGTGCATTGGCAGCAAAAGTGGAGCTGGAGGATGAGGAAAATTGCTTTCTCAGCAAAGCCTGATCATCTGGTGCTCCAGTGATGGTTGGGCCTTATGTAACACACCAGCTCTGCTGCAGAGGCTGGTGGGGAAGGTATGTCACACCACGCCATCAGGAGGCCTTGAATGGCCTCAGCCTTTCAAGAGGTCTGTTGCATTTATGCTATTTATGGCTGCATGCTGAGACCTTTGAACAAGAAGTGGTAGGTGCAGTTACACATGGCTGGTGATAAGTTCAAGGCTGGCAGCCTGTAACTGGTCCCAAAAGAAAAGGGAGCTGTTCCAAAAGCCCGTAAGTTACCTCTGCCACACAGCTGGTGATGGGGAATTTCCACTGAAACAAAGAAAGCCCTGAGACTTTGTGGAGCTGGCCCTCTCCCCAGCCACTCACGGAGGTACAGGTTGGTAGGACTCTGCTCCTGTTACAGAAGGTTTGTTTGTAGATTTGTTAACATTGCAAAACGCTTGCACAGGTAGGGTGACAGAGGGAGAGCATTTCAGTGGCCAACAGAAAGAGTTTTAGCAGTTTCAACTAGTGCAATTTTTCCCAGTGGTTCAATTTGCAGATAAGTTGTGTTAGTATTTGCACAGGAGGAACATCATAGTAAGGGCAAACTGTGCATCCCCACTATAGCTCACTCTGTGGGCTTAGGAATCCCAATTGCAGTTTGCCCAAGCATAAAGAAAAATGTCAGCTTTGCCGCTGCACATTGAACTACACATAAGGGCACAAACAGAGTAGCAGTGGTGCCTAGGCCAGGCAGCAGCTCTGGGGCTAAATGCAAGCAATGTCAATGATTCTTAAACAGGATGGATGCGGAGAAGGAGATGCTTGTTTCCTCTATTACAAGTTGAAGGTGTGTAAATGCTTCTAGTTCACCCAAGGGGACTGAGGAAGGGCGATGCCAGAGAGGGAACATGGGCTCCCAAACCAGCCTGTGTCAGAAGGTGCTTCACAGAAAGCATCTCTGTAGCTAGAAAGTGAGCTGGGAAACCCAGTTGTCCTGAAACAAGGTATGCTTCTGGAGTACAACAATGTGTATCCTTGGAGTACCAAGGGAAAAGCATTCTGTTCATGGTGAGAAAGTTTGGAGTTAAAGATGAAATACTGCATCAAAGTTACAGTGCATGGAAACAACCTGTGGAGAACTCTTTTCAGTGATGACTGGAGTGGGAGGTTCTAGATTATTGTTTTAAAACTGGCAAATGTTTTGAACTGTCCTGAATGTCTATACATTAAAAAAAAAAAAAAAAAACAAAAAAAAAAAAACAAAAAAAAAAACAAAAAAAAAAAACCAAAAAAACCCAAAACTTAGCTAAGCTAAGGGAACAATTCTACTGGGCAAGATTCAGGCAGGTCATTGAGCATGTGTGCAGATTAATGCCCCTATTGCAAATAATGGTCCCACAGAAACACACAGAGACACCATGAAGTAATGTCTGACAGAGTCATTTCATTAATGGACTGCATTGCCTGATGTTCTTGTGTTTCTGTCTGAAGTAGATTCTGGGAGCTGCAGACTATTTCACAAAATGCCCCGAAGCTTGTCTGTTAGGACACTAGTGCCAGATGTCCAAGTGAAAGACATCGTCTCCCTCCAAGTCCTAGGAGGTATGGCAGGATTG